GCAACCCTCTGCGGGTGAAAATGGAGCTTGGAAGGGCTGACTGTGGCCCTTCCGAGCTCCATTTCCACCTGCAATGGCCTCCTGCAACCCTCTGATAGCAAAATCCGAGCTCGGAAGGGCACCAGCCAGCCCTTCCAAGCTCCATTTTCACCTGCAGAGGGTTACAGGAACCATCACAACCAAAAATGACGCTTGGGAGCCCAGTGGAAGAGTGCTCGGGGGCCACCAAGGGCGCCCCCAACACAAGTGACATCCAGCTGGCCACACACACTCTGGCCAAGCCGGTCCTTCACTATTTCCAGGATGGCCCCATGGGCTAGATTTAAGCACCTCGTGGGCTGGATCCAGCCCGTGGGTCTTGATTTTGACACCCCTGATCTAGAGCTTTGAAATAACTTTGTAAAAACATAATTTCTGGTATTACTCATATGCGTCTGCAACATTATTTCCAAGGAAATCTGCAGGAATGGATCAGGTAAGGGAAGAAAGCAATCATGGCCTTGCAACTGAAGTCCTGCCCTTCATACTGTGTGTGACATTGATGCATGTGCAAAAAGGAGGAACGTCTTTGATTGGCCTGGCGTGACCTGACAAATGTGTGAATGTCAAAAGCGCGCCGACAAAACCGCGGCGCTAAAACCACGATGTCAAAAGCGCGCCGACACAGCGCGCCGACAGAAGCGCGATTTAAGTTAAGGTAAGGTTTAGGGTTAGGTTTAGGGTTAGGGTTACAGCGCGCTTCTGTCAGCGCGCTGTTGTCGGCGCGCTTCAGCGCTCATTCGTTGGCGCGCTTTTGTCACTGCGGTTTAGTCAGGCGCGCTTTTGTCGTTCGCGCATTTGTGGTGGAACCTTGGCCTGGTGATGCTCTAACTGCCATCTTGCCGCTTTTGGCTGTACAGCTGATGTCACTGATAACTTCCATTGCTGATTCTTAGAAAGAAATTGAAGAATGATCTGGGATTTTACTTCTATTAGCTCAGAAACACAAGGACCATGGATCAGTCACTGTCTCACTACAAGCAGCCATAGTTCTATAGTTAGAAAAATTCCTTTTCTCTACCCTAATTCCACACAAAAGGGAGGGGGATTAAAAACTCAAGGAGCCTGGCCCATTGTAGGAAGGGTAACTTCCTGGGGGGGGGTCAAATTTTATACCCCTCAGATAGGGTTCGTAACTTAGGAGTCCTCCTGGATCCACAGCTGACTCTCTGGTGAATGGATATTTTATGACTAAACACGTGTATTTTGGCTGT